GAGAAGAACCCGTCCAGAAGACCTATAAATTTTTTTTCTTTTTGATTTTTTTACCTGGATTACTGAGATGCATCAGGACATTAAAGTGAACATGTTTTTTTAAGGAATTAGAGATCTCAATGTGTTCTTACTGGGGAATCATTTGTGAATAAAGTTAATTTTTTAAAAATGTATAAAAGTTTCAAAAAAGCAAGTTTTCCCCATGCAGCAATAGTCAGAAAGTTAAAAAAAAACCCACAAGTGTGAAAGTTGAACCAGCTTTCACAGAATATTCAGTCTTCATTTGCCACATTAAAAAACACCAAGTCAGTCATTTTGCAAGATTTTTACATTCTCACTAAACAGTTAAAAAGTTTAGACTTGACTGAGGCAATAACACAGTTTCTTTAACATCAAAAACAAGCCCGGCTGATCATTTTCCTAAAAAAAAAATCCAAATTCCAAACAAATAAAATCAGATAATTAATGTCATGAAAGACAAAAAGCCCCAAAGATCCCATTACAGCCAGGAAATTCCGATTAAAKCTGTGCAGAGATTCTTCTGTAAGGGATTTAAAACAAATATAAAAAAAAAAAGATCAGTAATGATCAGAAGGAGGATGAGGCAATGCTGTAATCGTGATGAAATCCAAACCGCAAACTTTCAGTTTCCCTGGAAGTCGAGCAGCTAGCTGATCGTTCCGTGCCAAGAGGGTGCGTTGCATTTATTCACCGGGAGCGGCTCGGAGCTCCGTGACAGGCGGAGACAGGGAGGAACTGCTCCGCCCTCAGGCAGTGGAGGAGGTACACTTCGCTGCATGCTGCAGCGAAGTGTATTTGCAGTGGAGCCCTCCCACGGATGTGGAGACGTCCTCACCCCCCGGTGATGTCACACACGGTGTGGATAAAAACAGGCCAAGTGCAGAAAGAAAGAAACGAGTCCAGCAGCAGTCAGAAGTGTGTGCGGGTACAATGCAAAGGTACGAGGAAGTTATTTTTTTTACACTAATTTAAATGACGGGTTGAGTCATAAAACTTCGTTTCTATAATTTTATTAACTTCTGTGCCGAAGTTGCTAGTGTTTACCTCTTTTTGTTGTTTTTATGCTTGTTTTATAAGAGTTTCTGTCTCGTGCCCCCAGCCCACCCAAACCCCAGTTTGCCCGCTGGCTCATCGAGCAGGTGGAGACGGGTCAGTACGAGGGTCTGCGCTACGTGGACCAGAACAAAATCMGAGTTCCCTGGAAGCACAACTCCAGGAAGGACTGCAACGACGAGGACAGTAAAATATTCCGGGTAAATGTTGACACTGTCGCTGTTTTATGACTCAGTGATCAGATAAAATACAGTTATTGCTTGAAGGAGAGTAGGCTGGATGTCAGAGGTGGAATTTTTGGGATCTTTGAAGGGGAGCTGCATCTTGTGGCTTCACCGTTGCCAGCAAGTCAGTATTGGCATTCCTTAAAGCCGCTGAAATACGTCATCTCCTACTTTACATGTTTGGAAATTTGCCACTGATTGTGATTTAAACCAGTGGTTCCCAAACTTTTTATCTTCTGACCCAAAAAATATTCATGGCAAAAACTTGTGACCCCAAATATTACTGGTCTGAGTACACAAACTTTGTTAATAATCCTAAAAACAAAGGCTACACAAATATAAATACTTATTTATACTATTTTTACTTGTTTTTGTAATAATTATAGGAAAAATATTACATCACCAATTATTTTTATTACCCTTTAAATTGATTTCTGAAGCGCAGTTGTTCCCAAACTTTTCAGCTTTTGAGCCACAAAACAACAGCAGACCTGTGCCCACAACTGTTTTTGGATGATAAATATTTGTATCAGGTCAACTAAACATGGGCATAGTAACAGTATTTATTATTCAACTTTTATACATTTTAGGCAACTAAGGCAAAAATGTAATTAATTCAGAAAATCTTTTCAGGACCCCTCCTTGATGTTTCAGGACCCCACTTTGGGTCCCGACCCCAACTTTGGGAACCACTRATTTAGACTGTAGGAACTTTAAAGAGAAAAAATGAGTACTAAAAGCTGTATGACTAATGCTTTGCTTAGGTCCACTTTTACATCAATTAATTTTGTGAGTATACCAAAGTAAGTTGTCATCAATGCATGTTCCTACACACAGCTGTAAAGTAACTAAGTACAAATATGTTGTTACTGTACTTAAGTATTTTGGGTATCTGTACTTTGAGTAATTATTTTTCGGCCTACTTTTTACTTCTATCACATACGTCTTAATTTTCACACAGTTATCTGTACTTCTTACATTTAAAAAAAAAGGCAAGAAGTAGAAAGTTATTACTTTTATTTCATTTTTGCTTGTTTTCATTCCAGCTTGTTATTGTAAAAACACAAGTACTATCCATATAAATTGTGCCTCCTACATAGAGTGAATTTAATTGTGGTTGAATGAGATTGTACAACTTAAACACAATAATTACTGTATGCCTCGTCCCAATGGAAAAGCAAAAGAGTAGTGTGTGTCTGCATCTGAGGAGGAAAACGTGGGAATAAATAAACGGGTCTCARCTGTCTGCAACACAGTTCTGATTTCACTTTTAAAGAGTCACTCAAAAGATATGGATTGTTCASGAACATCACGTCTACTCCCGAACCACTGGATGAACTTTAATGGAACTTTCAGGAACTTGTCATTGGAYGTACATCTACAACTGATTACGTTGTGGCGCCAACCCAATTTAAGATGGTCATCAYCAGAGCAAACTCATTTTAGAAAAACACAAAAATGGCTAGAAGTTGGTCAATATTGCTGAGATTGTGCTAAAATCTGGTAGTTGTAGCTGACATGCTCCAGTTGCTACTCGTTCTCTGAGATTTTTTTTTTTTTTGTTAAAACTGCAGCATTAATTGCTGGTATAAACTCTGTTATTAGCTAAATTATGCTATAAACCAATGAAGCAATTTTATTGAGTCTTTTAGAACATAATATTTGAATGTACATCTACATCAGATCAACGTTTGAGATGGAACTCAGGTCGTTTTCCTTCAAGGAATGTTGTCTTAAATTTCATTTTGTATATTGGAGTTAACGCTGTTCTTTCCAAGGGTCCTATACATGTTTAGTGTAAGAAATGATTAAAAAAATCTGTCATTTTGAATGTTTTGAAATTATAAAGTAAAATTCCAAAATGTATTTCCCTGCTCATAGATATCTCTCTGTGGTTCACAGGCCTGGGCAATGGCAAGCGGAAAAATAAACGAGTTCCCAAATGACAAGGCGAGGTGGAAAACCAACTTYCGCTGTGTGCTGAACAACCTCTCCACGCGCTTCAGGCTGATAAAAGATAATTCCAAGAATCTAGACGATCCTCATAAAATCTAYGAGATCGTCAACACTGAGTGTAAGACTGTGACTGCAGGCCATTGGTTGTGAAATACCCTTGGGGAAACAAAAAYATGACGATTCGTTTTCTTTATCTGCAGACACCTATAGAGGGATGCCGACGCAGAATTCACAGGAGGATTCRGACATGACTCCAGATATCTACAGCTCTTCCACAGAGTTTCTCCCCTTTGTGAATGAGGTGTAGTACTGCAGTGAACTTCCACTTYTGGGGTTTCATATCCTTAAATATCTTCAGTACATCATCATCCTGATATACTTGTGCCGTTTTTGTCTTCCCTTAGTCCACTCTGCTTAATGATTTCATGGCTTTGGATCTTGGCGCTCCAACAGGTATAATTTTTATTTTAAGGACAGTACTAGTAGTGTCTGTTTACAGTAAGATTCAGTTTGACTTCTCCTGTCATACAGAAGAGCAGCTSTGGGTGGAAACTTGTGTCCAGCATGATCCTGCTGTGCTTGGCAGCTACCCTGCTGCAGCTGAGAACATCCCGCAGTTTTTACCAGATCAGCTGATCTACAATGAGGGTATGTTCAGCTAAAGAATATTAAACTATCTGCTAAAGAAAACTAGAGAAATGGCTAAAAGACAAAAAAAAATAGATCAGGTGCTTCAAAGCGGATTTTAAAAGAGAACAATGGGCCTCATGCAAAAACGTTCGTATTCTTATCCTAAATTTCTCTTACTTTTGTTCGTACGAACATGTCACGTCAGATTCAACAAACTCTTCTATCTTCAGGAAAAGTGTGTAAATGAGCTGCATAAATTACACCTGTTCKWWYCARCTGCTCGTGCACGTGAGAGGAGATTAGCATAATTGCCACCCCAAAAACACCATATAAGGCTATGTTTCCTGCCTCAGATATCAGGAAGTGTCCATTCATGAAAATGACAGCGAAAATTAAAAAGAAGAACTTTACGAGTTCAGAGATTGAAGTCCGTCTGTCAGAGATCCAGAAAAGAAAATCTGTCATTTTTAGCAGGTCAGCTGTGGAATAAAAAAGAGCTGCTAAAAGTATAAACAACTGTGTTAAATCATTTTCATTTATTCAGAAGACACAGCGCTGTGCACCGTCCCCCCACCCGCGCGTGGTCTCAGATGTGGTTCTGAAATAAGCATTTTTAAATGATTTCAAAATATGTCTGGCACTTTGGAGAAAATCCACGACTTGCTGGAGGGATCATGTATCCCCTCTGGCCTGGGAACGTCTCGGAGTCCCCCAGGACGAGCTGGGAAGTGTCACTGGGGAGAGCGGGGTCTCCTGCTGCCCCCGCGACCCGATCCTGGATAAGCCGGCTGGACGGACAATTTATATTGTTAGTCTAAATTATTACATTTAAAATTATAACTCTAATTCAAGCAGAATAGCCTATTGTCAACATAATTATGGAGTGTGATTTATTTTCAACTCAAAATATCTTCAAACTAACGAAATATAAAGTTATTAGGGAGGAAAACCCGTCTGGATAACAGCAGACTGACTGCTCGTAAAATATACGACAGGTCTGGACCACACGTGAATTTTGTTCGTATCTGAAGAAAATCTTAGAATACGAAAACATTGATGAATGCCACAAATTCTCCTAAATCACTCGTACGCACAATTTAAGAACAAATCTGTGCGTACGAACGGTTCTTGCATGAGGCCCATTGATTCTGAAGGAACAGAAGAAATCTCATTTTATTTCTATGAGGCAAATATTTATAAAGTTAGAAGTGTAAAAAATGCATAACAAAAGTTTGTAGGGTTTGGACATTTCCATCGACTCGAGGAAAAGGGAAATACAAAAATCTCCTGTATGAGCTGAACATTCATATGGGTAAAATAGCAAAGTATGYAAAAGTAATTAGCGTAAAAGATCCATTACGTACAGTAAATGCCATTGCCAATTTCACAGAAAAATGCAAGGCAGTTTTTTTAGATGTGTTGGTAGATTCTCAGTCTTCAGAACATAATAATCCCAGTATTTACATTTAAGAAAGCTGGTCAGATTGGTAGCAAAACACCAGCAACTATACCAAAAAGCCCAGTTGTCTTTTATTCAACTTGTCGTAATCCTGTCGCTTTCTTTAACAGTAAATCCTGTCCCCGTCCTAAGCCCACCTCAGCAGCCAAGTCTGTATGATTTGGAGATTTCCATCCACTACAGGAAAAAGGAAATGCTAAAAACAACACTGCAAACTAACCGTCTTCAACTCCACTACCACAGCAAAGCCCCCGAGTTCAACGCTCATCATCTCTGCTTTCCTTCCACCGAGGGTCTGCTGGACCATAAACAGGTACACTGCAACACTGCTGCTTAAAAAAATGGTGATGGAAAGTATGTAAGATATCCTAAACACTTTCTTCATAGTTTTAACTTCACAACATTATAAAATGGCATTTAATGAGAGTGCAAACATAGGTCAAACCAGACTCAGTAGCTTTTTGTTTACACTAACATCATACATATTGGTTTTTTTTGAAAAAGCTGGAATTTGTCCCATAGCAAGAAATCCTAAACAGTCCATTCTAATTTCTTCACCTACATAATGACTGAACTTATTGTGAATAATCAAAACATTTTCCAGTGTTCTGCTAGTTTTTATAAGGAAGTATAARTAGTACATCTCCCTGCGACCCAACTCCGGAACAAACGATGGATTCTAATGCTATCTTTTCATCGCAGATTGAATACACCAACCGCATACTGAACAACATCCAGCGCGGTCTGTTACTGGTAGTRCAGGAAAACGGTATCTATGCTGGGCGGCAGGATAAATGCCATGTGTTTGCCAGCACCAGTGATCCCAGTGTGGCTCATCTTAACCCCATAAAATTACCCAAAAACACCATGGTGGAGCTTCTCAGTTTTGACAAATTTGCCAACGGTAAGTTTGGATATTTACCACTTTTCAGTATATAAAACTTTAGCTTTTAGTGTTGAATTCAACGAAAAAAAAAACAAAAATGAATGGTTCCATCCTTGTCTGTTTTAGAACTGAAACAGTTCAAAGAAAACAACGGCAGCTCTCCCGAATATACCATCAACATGTGTTTTGGAGAGAAGTTTCCTGATGGGAAACCATTGGAAAAGAAGCTCATCGTTGTGAAGGTAACACTTCTAACCACTTGTTTTTATATGTTTCTGCTCCCGTCAGTAAAGATTGGTAAAAATCTCGCTCCCTTTACCTCCGCAGGTGGTGCCTCTAATCTGTCGGCATTTTTATGACATGGCCCAGGCGGAGGGGGCTTCCTCACTTCACAGCACAAACGTCAGCCTACAGATTTCCCACAACAGCCTCTTTGATCTCATCAACTCTGTGTTCTCTCTGCCAGGAGCTGAAGAGCCAACACAGCTGACCACTGTACCTTCCTTTGCACAGATGGGAAATTAAATTTCTCTAAAGTAGCTAAAGGGGGATACATAGAACTAAATAAACTTCTTAAAAATATGGGATTAAAATCATTGTTCATCTCTAATTAACTTCATAGATGAACTAACATTTTTTTTAACCACTGCAGAAGTAGAAATAGCCTTCTCAGCTAGTAAACTGTTACAAAACTTTTTTTCACAAGTACTGTATGTCACTTTTTTAGTTATACTATTCAGTTCAGCTGGTAATATCTGAATGTCTACAAAAAGATAGATAATCAAGAAAAATCTGGTATGACTTTAACGTATTTATTAAACTTGTAAATATACAAATCAATTCAAATATTGTTTATGTATTGTCATTTGTGTCACATATTGCGAAGTGCACCAGTTTCTGATGCAAAGCGCCCCCACATCATGATGCTGCCACTCCCATACTTCACAGTTGGGATTGTGTTCTCAGAATTGCAACTCTTTTATTCTACAAATCTGGCAATGGTCATTATGGCCAAACAGTTCATTTTTAGCTGTACTGGACCTTTAGGATTTGTCTAAAAAATAAAGTTTTGTCTCTGTCTGCTTTTCCAAACTGATTTTTTTTTTCTTACAGAGTAAACCAGAGTTGTGGAAGTTTACAGTTATCTTCCTGGTATTTTGTCTGATTTCTTTTGACTTTCTCGTGCCAACAAAGAAGCAGAGTGTTAAAACTAAGTGACCTAAAACAGGAAAGGTTTAATCAGATTTAATGTCAGACTGAAAGGACAGTAAACATCTGGTTTCATCTGTATTTCAGACAAAAAATTGCACAACTATGGCATGGACTGTACATAATGGATCAATGTCAATTGTGTCTTCTGACAAATCAAAATTTATTAAGGGGCCTTTCTGGCCAGTGTGGTTGACATTATAAAACTAAAAATATACACTCACCAGCCACTTTATTAGGTACACCTGTCCAACTGCTCGTTAACACTTAATTTCTAATCAGCCAATCACATGGCGGCAACTCAGTGCATTTAGGCATGTAGACATGGTCAAGACAATCTCCTGCAGTTCAAACCGAGCATCAGTATGGGGAAGAAAGGTGATTTGAGTGCCTTTGAACGTGGCATGGTTGTTGGTGCCAGAAGGGCTGGTCTGAGTATTTCAGAAACTGCTGATCTACTGGGATTTTCACACACAACCATCTCTAGGGTTTACAGAGAATGGTCCGAAAAAGAAAAAACATCCAGTGAGCGGCAGTCCTGTGGGCGGAAATGCCTTGTTGATGCCAGAGGTCAGAGGAGAATGGGCAGACTGGTTCGAGCTGATAGAAAGGCAACAGTGACTCAAATAACCACCCGTTACAACCAAGATAGGCAGAAGAGCATCTCTGAACGCACAGTACGTCGAACTTTGAGGCAGATGGGCTTCAGCAGCAGAAGACCACACCGGGTGCCACTCCTTTCAGCTAAGAACAGGAAACTGAGGCTACAATTTGCACAAGCTCATCGAAATTGGACAAGAGAAGATTGGAAAACGTTGCATGGTCTGATTAGTCTCGATTTCTGCTGCGACATTCGGATGGTAGGGTCAGAATTTGGYGTCAACAACATGAAAGCATGGATCCATCCTGCCTTGTATCAACGGTTCAGGCTGGTGGTGGTGGTGTCATGGTGTGGGGAATCTTTTCTCGGCACTCTTTGGGCCCCTTGGTAGCAATTGAGCATCGTTGCAACGCCACAGCCTACCTGAGTATTGTTGCTGACCATGTCCATCCCTTTATGACCACACTGTACCCAACATCTGATGGCTACTTTCAGCAGGATAATGCGCCATGTCATAAAGCTGGAATCATCTCAGACTGGTTTCTTGAACATGACAATGAGTTCACTGTACTCAAATGGCCTCCACAGTCACCAGATCTCAATCCAATAGAGCATCTTTGGGATGTGGTGGAACGGGAGATTCGCATCATGGATGTGCAGCCGACAAATCTGCGGCAACTGTGTGATGCCATCATGTCAATATGGACCAAAATCTCTGAGGAATGCTTCCAGCACCTTGTTGAATCTATGCCACGAAGAATTGAGGCAGTTCTGAAGCAAAAGGGGGTCCAACCCGTTACTAGCGTGGTGTACCTAATAAAGTGGCCGGTGAGTGTATACTGAATTTTAAAATTATTAAAATTTTACACTTAAGACCATATTCAYTCACACAAGAAAAATACTGTATTTAGTTTATACCAAACTGAACAAAAACTACAACAGAACTGTGTGTTATTATTATGTAATCTAGTCTTAAAGGTCTATAAAGCTAGTGCTGATGGATTTTAGAGAATGATCCTACAAGTTGTACAGACTGGCCATAAATTCTACGGTTTTTCTAGTGTTCTAGAGTCACAGATTTTTTTCAAAAACTGAGCTTTAAATTTATTTTACATGTAGGCCTGTAGGACATTTAAAAAATAATAAAAATAAATAAATAAGATTAAATAACCATCGCCCAACCCACTCTGATGCTAGGAATAAGTTCACCACCTGTCTCTTTCCCTGCTCAAAGAGCTGCTGTAGAGAAATAAGTACAACTGTAAAGGCACCACCAAGGCAGACAACTTAATGAAGCAGTCCAGTAGCTGAGCAGCTAAAAAGAAAGAATACTTCACAATTCTTTGTTACTAATTCAAGCCAAAACATACAAGTTGTTACATTTATAACCATCTCACAGCAAAGGTGTTACAATACTACATGAATAACTCGTATTGAAAAAAGACAAATCACCATTTTTATTTAGTTCTTTTTTTATTTGAATACTTTTTTGAGAAAACACCTGTTTGGTTTGATCAAGTAGACAGAAAAGAAGGAAAACATTCAACGCACCTGGTAATTAGAATCTTCCTGGATGTTGGCTGATAAAGCCTATWTACAAGCGACGTAAAACAAGCGAAGTCCAACCACCCTGCTAATCTTTACAACTGACTGCTAAACGATATACGTAAACAACATGAAGCATTTATGAACTTTTAGTGAGCGACAGCACTGCAGAAAACACAAAAAGTAAAGTTTAGGCTAAAGACATGAGCTTCTGTCTGCTGCAGAGGTAAATATGTTTTAATGTTCCAAGACAAAGGCAACTGTTAACTTTTATATTTTCAAATAGACAATGTTGAAGCTTAGAACATGTATAAGTTGCCTTTAAATGGATCTCACAGACCCATAAAATTATGCCGATAAATTTAAATAAAATATTTAAAGACACAGAGTACAAAATGAAAAAATATGCTTTTTTAAATTTAACACATCATCAAAAGTGCGATGTTAACATAGAAAAGTGAAAGTTGCCAATTTTGTGACTGATAAAGTCTTTCTGACTTTAAATTAAAATCTATATTATTCTATCAGAAACTGCTTTGTCAGCTCTTTTAAAAAATAACCACACATTTTAAATTTCCCTTTTTCAGGGAAACTCTGATTTTATTGCAGTATATCTAAAAGCTCCACATCAGATATGAGATAGAATAAGATATTTCTAAAATTTTCCAGTGTGTTAAAGCAAATGCCTTCAGAGAACTGGCTGACAACTGAAAGAGGACATAGTCAAAGCCAAAGAGCTTTTATTAACTTCTCATCTTTTGGATTTAGTTTAGCTAATTAAGGTATTAGATGTTGAACACATAAATCACAGCCTTTCAAAAATAAAACTCAAATCAACTCTATAAACAGGCAACAGAAACAAAACAATAACAGGCATTTAAACAAATCTGACTTATTTACAATTAAATCTAAAATTGTTACATCAGTATCATAACGACACATTTTCTACAAAAGATTGCATAACAGTGCCTTGTATTAATGTGAAATTCGTAAATAAACATTATGCTGATTAGTTTCCCAAATGGTGTTTAAATTTACGACACTCATAAGTAACCCATACCTCTCATTAAAAAATATTTATAGAAAACTCAAACTCAGCATTGCATCATCCTCTTCGTGATAAGTCCAACCATGGAAAACTTTATTTACATTTTCATGGAGGTTTTGAGTCAAAATCTACCTTTAAGTTTCTGTGTGGTACAACACAAACAGTAGTTTCTGGCAGTTACAGTCCCAGCAAAAGACACAAAAGGGTGGCATTCAAGTTAGTTATTTTTACATATAGTTTGCTGTCAATATATTATGAGAATATAAAGTTTAACACTTAGGAAAAACTTCTGTAGTGGTACTATGAGCAAAATTTTTACCTGTTTTGTCGGGGTATGTTTGTGATCCAAGAAGTTGGTGATGTGGTTGTTCTTGCTTGTTTACAGCTCCTCATGGACTGTCAGATATTTCCATTGGCTCAGTCTGCTCCTCGGGTAATTTCACGGACTCCTCTTCTTTTTTGTGTTTCCTTGCATGTTTGTATTTTTCCACATATGCCTTGATCAGATTTCCAACTTTGACTGGATTGATTTCCCCACTCTTGCTGTGGCACACCTGGCAACCAGGAACACAAAACATTTACAGAAAATAAACTGAAGACTTGAAATATATCCTGACAAATCCTCAAAAAAATTTAATCCTAAAAATATATTTTACAACCATAAAAAAATTATACATCTCATTTCTGGAAAACAGTCCTTTGACTCACCTTCTGAACAGCTTTACGCAGAATCTCTTTGTATTCCTCCTTGTTGATGTCTCTCTTTTGGTAAAAAGGTTTGATAGCTAACTTCACCTCTTCGACGGCTCTCTCCTGCATGTGCAGCTTTTTCAAGTACTGTTTGTAGGAGTAAAACATTGGTTATTTCATGATAAAATTCATACCTGTTAATGATGCCACTAAACAAAATTACAAAATAAACATAGCACATGTATTATGTATGGTCATTTTAATAACACTTACAAATGCTACACAAACCTTATCCTTCCTCGATAAATCTCCCTCCTCTGCTTCTCCTTGTCCAGCTGTTGACAAACCAGTTTCTACAATGTCCTGTCAAAATCAAGACTGTACTTGAAATCACAGCTCTGAAAAAGCAATGTATCTTTWAATGGGTGGGGGGCTCTGTCTCTTTAAGAAAGCCCTACTGTTTTGGACACTCACACTTCAACAAGTTTTCATACAGCTTGTTATTAAAGGATTTCTCAAACATGCTTGAATGAGTCAAAGCATCACTCTGGGTATGTTGACACTATAACATACATTTATTGTCTGCTCTGATTACTGCATTGAACTGGTGTACATATGTTTTATATTTTTGATTATATTTTTTTCCCTTTATCCTTTGTATTTTCTGTATTTGTTGTATTTTATACCTATAGCACATTTACACTGAAGCAAATTCCTAGTCTGTGAATCCTGTTCTTTGACAATGGCAACAAAACTGATTGTGATATGATATATAGCTCAAAAAAGTCAATTTTGCATAACACCCCTCCTTTAAAGGCAATTCAGATTGATTAGCAGTTTAAAAATAAACAAGACATTGCTCTTACAGCCTAAAATGCATTGGTGATAAACTTTTACATAATAAATTAATATTGTTTTACTGTATATATAATATGCATACATGTTACATGCAAAATGATGTATTTTCATGTTTAAGAATGGCTATAATTTTACACGAGTGCTCACTTCTACATTCATTTTATCTGAAAATGCCTCAGTATCAGTTTCGGTTTCAACCATGAGTTTCACAAGTTTAATTGTTCTGACTAAACACTGACACCTTCCTGTCATTACTGGTATTACATGTTCACATGCCATTCCTAAGAACAGATTTTGGTAATTAAAAGAAATTATTAGGTCAGTAGCACAGGTCTCATCTCACCTGACTGGCTGCTTGACCTGCCGAAGACAGCTTACGAAATCCTTCATGCTTCAGCTTCCGTTTGTACAGCGCCAGCTCTGTGCAAAGAAAAAAACAGTAATTCTATTACAAAACACATTCATGATCTTTATGTATATATTTTATGTGTGAAGACGGGTAATGGAAGTGAAACAACTCACTGCTTGGTGATTTTTCTGGCTGAGGGCCCTCTGGTTCCTGTATGTTCCAGGTAACTCGCTTCACCTGAGTTTTGGACTTTGATCCAGCCACAGCTGACACCTGCTCATCCTCTTCCTTCTGCTCCACTACTTCTTTCTCCTCGTTGGCAGCTGCACCGCTACGCTCGCTTTGCTCCGATTTCATATAATCAAGTCTATCCAGCATCACATCAACATTGAAATCATCCTCAGAGTCTGAGGGTTCCAGTTTTATAGGTGCTGTTGAACCAGCTGTGTTTTGCTCCTTGTCTGAGTCTACTGCCACTGGCTCAGACTGTGACGCTGTGTCCTCGAGGACCTCTTCGGTAGCGTGTGTGACGAGTGTAGAGGATGGGAAAACAGAGGGACACGGCTCAGATTTGATGTTTGTAATTTCACAAGACTCTGTCTTGAGAGGATGCTCCKGTGCCTCATCAGTGCTTTTGCTCACTGTCGGGGAGGCAGAGTCATTTTCTTCCCTTTTAACTGGTTTTGTGATGAGAGAATCTTCAAACATATCTACAGATTGTGTCTTTTCTATTATTTCTTTTTCATTCTTGACTTCTTTTTGATTTTCTGCAGCTCTAATCTGGCTGTCTGCATCACAGTCGCTCACCTCCTTTTTGACTTGAGATGTAAAGAAACTGGAGGGAAAATCCTTTTTATTTACTTCGWCACACTTTGCCTCTTCAGTGTTTCTTTGAGTAACATCTTCTCTTTTCCTTTCTTGTGAGCAATTTGTGTCTCTAGAGGATGAAACGTGTACGTTAGAAACTTTTCCCGTTCTTCTGGATGATTCATTTTTCCTCCTGTCTCTTGATCTGGATCGAGTCCTTCGCCTGCTCTTGTCTTTAGATCGTGATTCCACCTTGTCTCGAGAGGGGAGAGGCGTATKTTGGTGTCTGGTGTGCTCTTTCCTCCTTTCCCTGGATCTAGAGCGTGATTTGGAGCGAGACGCGCCACGTTTATTGTCTTTAGAAATGCGCCTTCTCCTGTAGTCCTGCTCTCTGCGATCACTTCTCTCATTGCCTTTTTGTTTATGCTTCACCATCCTTGACCGTTCCCTACTGCTAGAGCTAGATTGTGACCTACAGCAACCAAAGAATACAAATTGGCTTAATCCTTTAGAAATGATAAAATACGTAATATTTGCATAGTTAAAATCATTTCTTACCTGGATCTCCGCCTCCTTGCTTTGTCTGCAGATCGTGACCGAGACCGGCGCCTCTTCCTCTGAGTTCTATCTGGAGAGTTGGGCTGAGAGCTGTCAGAGGTTGAATGTGCCCTTCTTCTTTCTCGTGACCGCCTGGACCTACTGTCTTCATAATCATCTTTCCTTTGGCTTCTCTTCTCTGACCCGTGATGATATTCCCTCCTGCCCCGGTCTGTTTCAGAGCTACTAGACTGTTGCTCTTTTGAAGCTTTGGAGGTTTCTTTCTTATGGCCAGAATCCTTCGATGGAGACTTAGGACAGAACCTGAATTCTGATTTAACAGGTTCCTGCTGCGTGTTCTTGGTGGTAGTAGAACTGGATGCTGATGAATCATCGTCGTAGTTAACAAGAGAAGCCCTGGGAGCTTTAGCGTCATCTCCACTCTCCTCTTCAGGCTTCTGCTCAATTTTTATTTGTTCAATGCTTTGCTGAACGGGTGGTGTGGTACCTTTATTCTCACTCTCACTTTTAATCCTACCATCATGCCTTTCAGACTCCTCGTTTTCAGATTCATCTGAATAAGGTTCTTCCTTAATATTAGTTTCAGGGGATTCTGTTGGTTTCTCAGTTTTTACGACTACTAATTCAGATTCTTCTTCCATTTCAACCGAAGGCTCTGAGAATTTTACATTTTGTGATACGGTATTCAGAGCACTCCCAGGTTCTTCTTGTGAAACCTCGGTATCCTGCGTTTCAGTTTTCACACGCACCGTATCCTGCTTGTTTGGAAGTGAATCCTTGGTTTCTGAAACACGAGCTCTCCCTTCATTTCTGACGCACCGAGGGTAAAAGCTTGGGCTCTTCATTTCATCACTTGAGTTACTTGAATCTGACAGTGTCGGATTAAAGGGATCATATGTATTATCATTTTGTTCCTCACTGAACGCAGCATGAGATGTCAGCAGCTTTTGCTTGTCCTTGTGCAATTGCTTCTTTTCAGTGTCGTCCTTTTCCTTCGCGTTGCTTCCGGTAGGAAAAGATGATGCGATGTTCAGCCGCTTTGCATGCCACGAGTTCCCACTAGAATTAATGCGGAAACTTACAGCTGAAGATGAAGAAAACGAGGCGTGTTGTTGTTGGCTGGCAGAGGTACCAGAGGAGGAGGAGGAGGAAGAGAAAGAGTTGGAGAAGGCTGCTGATGAGCTTGCCCTGTCAGGCCTGCTCCTTTGGGCCTGACTATCAGAGTGGCTCTTTTTCTGGTCTACACTTTGCTGCCTTCCTTTGTCCCCAGAMAGATTGTTCATACAACCTTCAGGCAAGCCGGAACCACTCCTAGCACCTGAGGAACTGCTTTTACTTCGATTACTATCATAAGTACCACCTTGACTAGTTCCATCATTTGTGATATTGCTACTCTCTCTTTTTATTTTTGGTATCCGTGGAAGCACTGACACATCCACCCACATCGGTTTTACAGGTGTTTTTTTATGTTGGGACTGTGATTCTTTGCTTTTGAAGTTGGAGTCCTGGACAGGAAAGATGGATGACGAGGTGGTTTCTCTTGAGGTTTTAACTCCGTTAGCATTCTGGTGACAAGGAGATGGTCTGTTTGGACAAGGAGGCAGCAAACCCAGATTTCCTCTAGGCGTTGGATTAAAYTGGGGAGTTAGTTGGGTTGGATTAGCAGAATGGGGCACGAAGGACGGTGAGGGGGATGAGTTTTGGATCAGTGGTCCATTCACTGAAGAATGGGAGGATCCTGGTAGACTGCCTCTGTGATGGGGAGATGCAGAATTGTCTCCCATGTTAGGTGAGAACCCTGAGCTGCCAAGGACACTGGCCTCTCCTGAACTGCTTTTCCTGCTACTTGACAGCATCACTGGAATTGGAAAAAGTATAATGAACAAGAAATTATGTTGCTTAACTGATGCGTAAAAATTATTTTTACAGCTTTCATTTTTTTCACACAAAACAATGGTTTCACACAATTGTCATCATCAGAGTCAACTATTATAACCTGACAGTAGGGTTGGGTGATAAATCGATTTGATCGATTGATTTGAATTTGCCATTTATGAAGATTTGATTTGGGGAAAATCTGGATAAACCAAAACAGACAGG